TATCAACCAATCATGTGTTTCATGCCAAGTCCAAACACATAGAGATCGACTATCACTTTGTTCATGACAAAGTTACAACAAGAGATCTTCAAGTACAACATGTTTCCTCTGCTAAACAATTTGCTGATATACTCACAAAGGGTTTATTTGCACCCTTGTTTCGATAGCATTGTGGCAATCTCATGCTCAGTTCACTAGTGCATGAGATTGATGGGGGATGTAAGAGTGTAGACAAATACAAAGATGAGGATTTAAGTAAGGACAACAAGCACAAAGATGAGAATCCAAGTGAAAGGAATTCAAGGGTCTAGATGATGACAAGTGTCACAAGATCCAAGGGAAGTTACAAGTTGTTAGAATCTGGTGCTAAGGATGTTAGATTGTTAGATTGTTAGCTTGTGTTGCAAGTATTGTAATCAGATAAATACATATAGCTAAGGTGTAAGAAGATAACTTGACTCTCAAGAAATACAAAGAAAACTTCTCTCAACGCTCTCTCTCTCTCTCTCTCTCTCTCAATTAGTTCTTTGATGATCTCCATTGAAGCTGCTGCTTCAATCTTTACATCTTCTTGTCCCACTATAGATAGTAAAATACGAAACGAATATATAAATGTATTATTGATATGTCATCTTGTCACTATTTTCACGTCAAATTAATTTAGACTTAGCCCCAGTTTGGGGTTGAGGTGCTTTTTTAAAAAGCTGCCATGAAAAAAAGCTGATAAGGATTTTGGTGTTTGGTAAACATCCCAAAACAGCTTTATTTCAAAGTTTCACATGAAAAAAAGCCAAAAAGTGGAAGCTGCATTTTGCAGCTTACAGAAGCCGCTTATTTTTTCCAAAACGCGGAGCTACAGTACCAATTAATGAATTTTTTCAATTTACCAAAACTGCCCCCTCCTTTCTCCTTTCTCCTTCTCCCGATCCTACACTCTGCACTCTCTCTTTCTCTGTTGCAAAAAACTCCCGCCGCTGCACTCCCCCTCTTCCCTCCCGCCGCTGCACCTCTTCCTCCTCCTCCTTTTCGTTTCTCTCCGTCACTCTCAACACCACACCGCCGTCGCCTTCCAGGTACCAACTACTCGACTCGCTTTGAATTAAGGTTATTATCATGAGATCCATGAAACAATTTCAGTTCTTAGGGTTTGATTGGCAATGATGGTGTTGCTTTGTTTGTTGGAGTTTTAACTTTGTTTGTTAGTTTCTGGGAACCCAAACTTAATTGTTTAATTGGCTTGTTTGTTATCCCATAAAATAGAGCTGATTCCACAAGTCTTGTACAGGGCTTAATATAGTTTGCTTTGTTTCGTAATGGTTGTGGGGAAGAAAGTTAATATATACACCTTCGATTTACCTCAGTATCCGCACAAGAATAACAACAGAAGCAATATGAAGGATTCCAGAAATTAAAGAAAAAAAAGGTTAGATTAGTGAGAAAGTGAAAATAGTTAGTTCTAGTAATCACAAGCATTTGCTTGCTTTTCATAAGCATTTTTCACTTCCAGAACTGGAAAACTTCCCTCCTCATACTAGGGGGACAATTGAAAGCCTAAAAAGCAATTTCCCTTTTGTCTAAAAAGCAAAACTTTCTAGTCAAATTGACCGTCTTGTTGAAGTTTATGAAAGTAGGAGTTCTGCAAACTCATTGATGAGGCCGCTAAATTTAGGCAGTAGTATTGTGGAAGTGATAGTGTCTGTTGCAAAATTGCCTGGTTGTGAGCCACCTAGCGAGCTATGGTTGTTTGCTACATGTTTATTTTGTAGTGCAGAGAAGCGAGAGATGTTTGCCACTATGAAAGATCCTGAAGTGCAGCTAACTTGGTTGAAATATATGTTCAACAAAGAACAATAAGGAGCTAAAACTATGAATTAGGACTGTGTGGTTTGTGTTTATTTAATGTTGCTTGTACCTTGTGTTTATTGAATGTTGGATTATGATTTTTTATTAAACTTTGGATTATTCATGAATGTCAGATTATGATTTCTTAGTGATCGCTGGATTATGACTTGTGGAATGTTGAATTATGTGTTATGTTACAGGTGTATATTCAATATGAACACTTATGATGATGATGATGTTGAGGATTTGGAGGATGGTCTAATTATATGTGCTGTAGCGAAAGCTGTTGAAACATATTATTTAAAATATGTCCACAAAACTCCGTGTATGAATTCTTCCCAAACAGGTAATATTTGGTTGATAGAAGTACTACAAGGACATCATGTGCGATGCTATAAAATGTTTAGGATGAACAAAGATGTCTTTTATAGATTATCCAATGACTTGCAAACTAATTATGGATTGAAAGGTTCAAGGAGAATGAGTGCAATTGAAATATTAGGAATGTTCTTGCATATGTTGGGACATGGTGTGAAAAATAGATTAGCGCAAGAGAGATTTCAACATTCTGGTGAGACTGTTAGTAGATATTTTGGTGCTATGTTGGATATCGTATGTAAGATGGCAATAGATATTATCAAACCGATGGATTCGGAGTTTCGTGGCATTCCCCAAGAAATAAGGAGAGATACAAGATACATGCCTTATTTTAAGGTAAAATTTGACTCGTCTTCTAACTTATTTGCAAACTAGAAGTGTAGGTTGACGCTTTTCTTCTATGTTATTATTTTTAGGATTGTATTGGTGCTATAGATGGAGTACATGTTGAGGCTTCAATACCACCTCCGGATCATAAAGAGGTATTCAACCACATGCATTCTTCTCTTAGGAGCATCATTGAACGAACTTTTGGCGTATGGAAGAAAAGATGGGCAATTTTAAGGGATATGCCTAATTACCCGTTCAATAAGCAAGTGAAGATTGTCATTGCTACAATGGCTCTTCATAACTACATACGGAGGTATTCTGAACGTGATCGTCATTTTGATGACCCTAGGGACTATTGTGAAGAGAGCGATAGTAGTGATGATGATGATGAAGAATACCAAAATTATGAAGTTGAAGGATCACATGAGATAGAAGCATTAAGAAATAGAATAGCGGCAAGTTTGATGAATGCATCTAATTAGATTACTTTTAAGTACATTAACAATATTGTACTAATGAATTCTAACTATTTAGTCTAAAATATTTCAATTGAAGTAGTTTGTCATACTAATTAATATTTAAGATAAAGTTTATAAATATGTTTCTTTTACAAATAAAGTATATTTAGTAATTCACCTTTATTGGTTAAGAAAATTAAATTAATGGCACATCTAGTATTATACCATTTTTGGTCATTTTACACAGTCACAGCTGTTTTACATAAAAGTTTACCAAACACTATCATACTGTTTTTTTTTCCAAAAGCACTTTCACAAAAAAGTTTACCAAACACTCTGCTGGCTTTTTTTCACAGCCGTTTTTTTTCACAGCACAACAGAAGCAGCTTTTTTTCAAAGCACAGCAATACCAAACCAGCCCTTAAGCGCATTCACATCCACTAGTTAAGTCAAACATGATAGCTCCTCCAACCAAGTGGAGACAGCAACCCCTAGGGCATGGGCTAATTTTTCTTTTCCTTCTTCTTTCTTGCCTATTTTATTCTTTATTCTTTTCAATTTTTTAAAAATAAATAAGAAATTCAGTTTTAAGATTTACAAAAAGGACGAGGAGGGTATGGTGAGCAAATTTTGAGGTACAAACAGATTATCCCTAATGTTTTTGCGTATGGGTATCTGCATTGATTAAATTTAATCACTAATCCAATGAATGATCCTAGCTACATATATAATAACTTGTTTTGTGAACTTTTGATCCATCCCTCTCCTTTTAAGGAAAATAGAACAGAAAAAGAAAAGAAAAGAGTTGCAAAGAGGTGGCTTAAAGTGGAATGTAATACACTGTTTTTTAAATATTTGACAAGTGAGTTTCAATAATTTCAACCTCGTGTTCAACATTGGATGACCGGACTGGGCTTCCAGGGAGAAAGGTGCATCATCTCATCATCAAAAGATTCAAAATATATGGAATGCCATTGCAAACAAGGAAAAGCGTAGTTTGATCATTACAGCTGGCCAAAAGAGATAAAGCCACTTGCATGGTTGCATGCTAGCTATTTTAGGATGGACTGCTTTCACTTTCAGCCCATCCTCGACGACCTAACCCTAAACTGGATGACGATGAGCACATCTCGCTTTCGGCATGATGTCAAGTAAGAGGAACCCTAGTTTTTTCCATGGCTAGTGAGATTTTTCACCCCTTTTAAAATCTCCAGCGTACTCATGAGCGCAAAAAATATATGAACTCGTAAATTTAGAGTGCAAATGATTACAAGTTTGTGTGAAAACCGACTCAAATTGAAAATACTAGGTCATTTAATTTGTAATGTGATGTTTGTATAGTAGTTAGCATTGGTTCCGTATAACATTGCATTGTGCTATCTATTTGTCTTTGTGCATGAAAGTGCCACATCCTACTTTGAAAAAGTAATGACCAAAAGTCTTCTATTTAGATATTGCTGCTATACACTGTTAGTGGCCGCCTACAAATTAACAGGGTTTTAATGGTCCCCTCTCAGACTCTTCCTATTCTTTTCCCACGAGTTTGTTTCAAGTTTTCAATCATAAACGAAAGCAAATAAAGCCAGCTTGCTCTTAGCACTTTGGTGGACTTGTTGGTATATATCATATATGGTTGGTAAATGAAATAGACGATGAGAGTAGAAATTTTACATTCGGGAAAGAAAGGACATTGGATGTGCTTATAAAAGATTTAGCTACTTCCAATATTACTAGTTGATTTTATGGAACCCCAACTTTCTTCAAGAGGAAGTCAGTGAGAAACCAAAGTCAGTCCACTCAATACAAACCTTCTCTTTGGTCTATCGTAGCCTTTTATTGTGTTTATACTCTTATGATTGGTAGCAAAAATGCAGAAGTCAGCTTGTAACCAAGAGTAGATCACTTCATAATTCATTTATACAAGCTCAAATATAGCTGGATACAATTAAGATCCATTAATTTGGATAGAAAGATTACAAGCCCAAATTTTATACTTAAAAATCTATTGGGTTGATTTACAAATATTCGAGCTTGAGAGAGAGGGGGGCTTTTGATTTTATAAATTGTGGAATGAATAAACAATGACAAACTGCTGTAGTAAAACTATAAACAAAAATGCTTTAAACAAAAATTAATTTCTAGGCACTCAATTTTATGCTTATTTTCGGAAGGGATATATAGAATGCATAGCAAGAGCACATTTGATCATCCATGAGGTTGAATCCAAAAGGTTACTGGTTGTGAATGGGAGAAAGATTGGTATAAGTGTAATAATCGATCAGTATACCAACATTTACACTTACCTCAATTTTTCTTCCATTCAAAACCAGCACGATGTTAGATTTCAACTTCATGGATGAACAATATGCTCTTGTTTTGGATTCCAACGAGCCAAGGTAGACTCCAACCGAGTCCCAAGGGACATTCTTCGCCATGTATTCCTCCACTGCTTCATTTGAAGCTTTATATAAATGTTTTAATTTTGCCTCGTCTTCTAAATGATTCAACATCTTAGTCGCGCCCTCCATGTTGTAGTTGTGGCATGCAACCGTAAGTGTATCTGATCTTACAATCTTGAATTGATGAGGTTTGCTGATCCATCCGCGGGAGGTTATTCTTGAATCGGTTACGATAACAATCGTATTATATAAATCCAATAGAATATTAGTAGTTCCGTGTTCTCGTAGAAGGCCTAAAAAAGTTCGAAAATCCTTCTCTAAATCATTAGCAATGGTGATTACTTGTGTCGAAGTTTCTTTTTCTTTTTGTGCTCCACTCTCTTTATAAAGCATGTTAACAAAATAAAGAATAAGAGTACAAAGCATATCTCATAAATAAAGAGTAAAAGCATAACCTCATACATATACATAACAAAACAATTCTGCTGTAATATAATATTAGCTAATGAATTAAACCCTCCATCGCTCTAACCCTAAACTACCCGCCAAAGCCCCCCTCGCTCCCTTCTCAACCCCAAAGCCCTCTCTCTCAAACACAGTGATAAACCGTAACTGCCCACAAAGCCCAGTCCCTTCCTCTCTCTGACAAAGCCATGAACTGCCGACTGAAAGCCAAATCAAAGGCCAAGTCCCTGGTGGGATCAGTATCCTGGAATTGGAAGAATTCAGCCCAAGCGCCAAAGCTCCTAGGTGAGTTGTATGCTTTTCGTTTTTCTTTTAGGGTTTGTGAGGAGGAAATAATTTCGATTTTGCTGATAACATGCTTTGATCGTTTGAGCAAACATACTAAACAAAATTTGGTTTTTGGCTGCTGTGCGTGAATTTAATTAATTCATACCGAATTTTTTGTGTGCATAAAACTATATCCCTTTTAATATATCGTATATGTATCTTTTAGGGTTTATATAATAGCAGCTAGATGTATTGTGGTTAGCTGGGTAGAATTCTGAACAAATTTCGCAGGAGTGCATTCAAACGGATTTTCTGTAGACATGGTTGCAGAGTTCATAGCAGCGGAACTCCACTCGGAGTGATTGCCATTTCTGAACCCGTCACATGAAGGCATGTGATGCAAGATCAGCCTGTATGAAGGTCAGTTGAAATTCTAAGTTAGCTAAGAAAGTCGTATCATACAGTGCAATGTGCATAGCTGATAACTGCATGTGCATCATCCGAGCTAACTGTAGGCAAAATGCCAGTTTTTAAAGAAAAACAAAAATGTGAACCGCTCCGGAGACCGAAGAGTAAGGGTTTGGTTGTAAGCTTGTACAAAACCAGTGGCCTAACAAAATAATAAGAAGGTTTCTTTAGCTAAAATGGTCATTGAGATTTGTCTAACTTCTCACTTTGGTCTTTGAGATTTGAAATCAATGGAAGTAGTCCATGACCATCAATCATTTTCGTCATTTGGTGAAAAATTATGTAAATAATGATCATAATAACAAAATTACCCTCAATATAATAAACAATAGGTCAAAATGATTTGGCAAAATTTGAGGATATTTTTGTCATTTTATTCTTATTTTATGGAGATTTTCATGGAATAACCAAAATGATTGATTGTGGAAAAATTTAGGGACAAATTCTATCGATTTCAAATCTCAGGGACCAAAGCGCGGAGTTATGCAAATCTCAAATACCATTTTAACTAAAAAGTATAACAAGAAATCCATAAGGGGTTTGGTTGTAAGCTTGTACAAAACCAGTTTTAAATTTTTAATATTTTCTTTTTCTATGGAATTATAAATACTATCTTTATTGTTTAAATAATTAGTTATAAGGGTAAAGTTATCAATTTATCAGTAAAAATTTGACCAAAAAGGTTATGTAAAAGTGAATTAAAAATTGAGGAGTGCTAGTGTAAGGTCTCAAACTTAAATTTATGAAATCGCCTATAAACCTCAGGGGTGTTAGTGTAATTATCAAACCCCAAAAGTTAGTATATAAGGGAAACCTCTTATCCCTCTAACCAATAAACTACCAGCCAAAGCCCCCCTCCCTCCCTTCTCAATCTCGCTGTGGCCCAAATCTAACCTCAAAGCCCTCGCTGGCTCTCTCTCTGAATAGCCATGAACCGTCGACTGACAGCAAAATCAAAGGCCAAGCTCCGCATGGGACCAGGATTCTAGCAGGTGATGAACTCAGCCCAAGAGCCGAAGCTCCTAGGTGAATTCCGGACTCATTTTGGTGTGCTTTTGGTTTTTAGTTTTACGGTTTGTGAGGAGGAAATAATTTCGATTTCGCTGATAACATGCTTCGAGTTTGAGCAAACATACTAAGCAAAAAATTGGTTTTAGGCTTCTGTGTGTAAATTTAATTAATTTGATAACTAATTTTTGTGTGTGCATAAAACCCTATCCCTTTTAATATATCGTATATGTATCTTTTAGGGTTTATATAAATAGCAGCTAGTCATTTTGTGGTTACCTGGGCAGAATTCTGAACAAATTTCGCAGGAGTTGATTCAATTATATGTATATATGTATATTTGTGGCATGCATATGATGGGCTTTGTTAATTATCTTTATCAAGATGCCTCTTACCATACACAGAAATGCATACATACATATGTACAGATACATACTTATATATGATACATTATTAATTTTTTCTGTACTTTTCCGTAAATTAAAAACAGATAAGAAGAAAGAGGAAAATGCTGTTGAAGACACTTTGACTGAACTCAACGTCTAACTTGAGGATACAACTTCAGAGAAGAAAACTTGTGAGCCTGAGAAATGTGTCAACAAAGTTTGTCGTGTTTGCCTCAAGGTTGGCCACTGGACTTGTGAGTGCTCCTACCTCCGTCGTGTCCCAGCTGGCGTAACTGAGGTTGGCAAGGGCTATGTAATAGTTTGTTTGCGTTGTCCTTCAGTGCGTAACAGGTGCAAGCATAATATCGGCCGTGCTGTTTACGTGTATTGTTATATATGTAAAGTGTGGGGTCAGCACATCACTGGTGAGTGTTCGAAGATCCCAAGACGAACGAAGGAGGATACAAAGGAAAATGCGTTGAACCTGTATCTCAAATGATATGATCCTGCTGAAGCGGAGGATTGGGATGTACGAATGCTGGAGCAGTTGTATCGTCTAGGGACGTTATTTCATGGTAGTTGCTTAATTTTCTCTCTATTTTCTTTAGTTTGGGCACTCTGCCGACCCTGAGTATTTAGGGGCCCTGTGCAAAAATTAGATGGAGACCCTTCATTTTTTTTTTTTTTTTTTTATGTTATTGTAGACATCGAAATTTCGGTGAAATGAATGTTAACCAATAATTAAAATTTCAACGCTCACGTGTCACATAAATTTTACATGTAGCGTGTGACTCAACGAAAAATCGAAATAAATTGGAAAAGTCATCAAATAGGACACTTGTCAATACCTGGCAGAAATGATTTATTTCATCTGATTATTTAAATCCAAAAATCAAGTTTTGGAATTCTATAAATAGGAGGCCAAGGCATTCATTTTGGGGGGAAGGGAGAAAGAAAGAAGAGAAAGAAGGAAGAAGAGAAAGAAAGAAGGGAATTCACATCACACCAAAACCTTGAAGCTTTGAAACTCTAAAGCTCTCAAGCAAATCCCGAAGGATCAAGAAAACACTCTTCGTTCTTCGTCAAATCCTCCTTCAAAGTCAAGCCCCAACGGCCCTTGAAGAACTTCCACCGATTCAAGATCAAGCCCCGACGGCCCTTGAAGAAAGTGTTCATCAACTGTTCAACTCAAGATCAAGCCCCGACGGCCCTTGAAGAAAGTGTTCATCATCCGTTCATCCTAAAGATCAAGCCTCAACGGCCCTTTGGATCAACAACCTCAACAAATCCACACATACAATCGTTCTTCAAGATTAAGCCCAAAAGCCCTTGAAGATCCGCTCATCCATCAACCTTCAAGAGCAAGCCCAAAAGCCCTTGAAGAAATCCATACACCCGTTCTTCGAGATTAAGCCCAAAAGCCCTTGAAGATCCGCTCATCCATCAACCTTCAAGATCAAGCCCAAAAGCCCTTGAAGAAATCCACACAACCATTATTCAAGATCAAGCCCTGACGGCCCTTGAAGAAAGTGTTCATCCGTTCATCCTAAGATCAAGCCCCAACGGCCCTTTGGATCAACAATCTCAACAAACCTATACACCCATTCTTCAAGATCAAGCCCAACGCCCCCTTGAAGATCCATTCATCAACTGTTCATCCTTAGATCAAGCCCCGACGGCCATTTGGATCAACAACTCATCCACAAATCTACACCCTACGAAGATAGAATCAGAGGATCAAATTACAAAGAGATTGTAACCCCAAAATCATTAAATACAAAAAATATATTTTGTACACGTATTCTTGTTTCTTGTTTCAGGAATTTTTCGTGTTCACAAATTTGGCACACCCGGTGGGATAATCTCTACCTCTCATCTCTGTCTCCGTTCAAGATATTCAAGCACAGTCCATGGCTTCAAACAAAGAACAAGTCATGACTATCGGCACTACCTCCATTGAAAAACAGCTGGTTCAGATGAAGGAAACAATTGCAAGGCTGATAAAGACTGCAGAGGAGAAAAACTTGCAAACCGCCGGACTCATCAACCGTCTGGAGGCGCAACATGGTGTCATAGTGAATTCAAGCTCTCTTCCAACTAAGAGGACCGAAGAAGGCTTCAACCCAAATGCCTACGAACTCATGTCAAAGGTTGGGCATGACTTTGCTTCCTCTTCAAATCTTGGAAAGAAGGTTTCAAACACCGTCAACGACAAAGATCGCGACCTCACCGAGACTCAAAAGAAGTTGAAGGAGCATGATTATGGAGTTGACAACAACAAGGCTGGACTTGGCTTCACACCAAATGCACCCGTGAAGATTTCAAGCAAAGTGAAGAAAGCTAGCGCTCAACACATCAGCGTGAGCATTGAACAAGACCAAGAAGAGCCTAAACCCTTCTCTCGGACGTCGGTCTTCAATAGGATGAGCCATTCAAGCTCCAGAACTTCAGTGCTTAATCACATTGGTGGTCAAGACCGAACCTCTGTCTTCAAGAGGCTTAACGCGCCGACATCCCAAAGCTCTGTTTTTGAAAGGTTGTTAAAGCCTAAGAAACAAAGCAACACATCTGTCTCTCCTCTGCGACGATCAGTTTCAGAAAGATTTGAAGATGATGGTAAGCCTTTTGGAAAGAGGAAGACAACACCAAAGGAAGAAAAGCTCGATGGGTTAGGAGAAAAAGACGACGCTCGAAGCTTGATTCCTTCAAGGATGAAGCGCCAAGCAATCCTAGAGGTCGACACAAAAGGACCACTGAAGGTAAGGAGGCGCATCATCGTCCACACTGGCAAATCTTCATGCCAACAAACCCAAGAGAACGGCACTGAAGAGGAGATCCAAGATGTTTTCTACATCACGGTTCAAGAAGGTAAAGAAGACGAAAGCCCGAGGAAATACTCAGAGTCCTTACTCTCCGACCCTGATCCAAGCGGCAGTACAACCATGCAAGTCATGACCACTGGAGAAACTTCAATCGATGAGCAGTTAGCTCAGATGAATGAAGCAATCGCAAAGCTCACACAGACTGTGGAAGAGAAGGACTTGCAGATTGCCGCACTTGTCAACCAACTAGATGCGCTGCCCGACGTGAAAGTCGACCCAAATATCGGCCTATTAAAGAAAGAAGACGACGAAGAAGAGGAGCCACCAGCGGAGAAAGTTGAAGAGAAGCCGAAGCTAGACCAAGCAACGGCATCCATGGGATCTCTCTCTATCCAGCAGCTACAGGAGATGATCGCAAGCACTGTCAAGACACAGTACGAAGGAAGCTCGCATGACTCCGTACTGTACTCAAAGCCTTACTCCAAGAAGATTAATGCTTTGAAGATGCCAAGGGGTTATCAGCCCCCAAAATTCATGCAGTTCGATGGAAAAGGCAACCCGAAGCAACATGTCGCCCATTTCATTGAAACTTGCAACAATGCTGGGACAGAGGGAGACTACCTCGTCAAACAGTTCGTGCGTTCACTAAAAAGTAACGCTTTTGACCGGTACACTGACCTCGAACCTGAGTCTATCAACAGTTGGGACTAGCTAGAAAGGGAATTCCTCAACCGTTTCTACAGCACTCGTCGTACTGTAAGCATGCTAGAGCTAACCAGTACAAAACAGTGGAGAGATGAACCTGTCGTCGACTACATAAATAGATGGCGTTCATTAAGCCTGGATTGCAAAGATCGACTTTCTGAAACCTCCGCCATTGAGATGTGCGTTCAAGGCATGCAGTGGGGACTACACTACATCCTTCAAGGCATCAAACCACGAACATTTGAGGAGTTAGCCACCCGCGCCCATGATATGGAGTTAAGCATCACCCGTCATGGGAAGAAAGAACAGATCGCCGACTACAAGAATGACAAAGTTTTGGGGCCAAAGGTGGATAAGGCTGCGTGGAAACCCACCAAGGAAGCAATGACGGTCAACACAACTCCAGTCAAAATCCATGCACAAGGCAAGTCAATTCAAACCGAAGCTTTTCGTGATCAAGAGATACGTAAACGCACTTTGAAGGAGCTTGAGGAGAAAACTTATCCATTCCCCGACTCTGACGTGGTTGCCATGTTGAAAGACTTGCTTGACAAAAAGGTGATTGATCTACCTGAGTGCAGACGGCCGGAAGAGATGAACCGTACTGACAATCCAAGGTACTGTAAATTCCACCGCTTCATTGGTCATCCGACGGAAAAGTGCTTTGTGCTAAAAGATCTCATCATGAAGTTGGCTCAGAAAGGGATCATCGAGCTAGATCTTAATGATGTGGTGAAATCAAACTATACCTCCTTCACTTCTGGCTCTTTGAACTCAAAATCTTCGCCTCAACCGCTGGGGGCATGCTCCAAAACCATGTCAGTCAAGTCAAGTGAAGATAAAGGATGGACTTATGTCACTCCAAAGAAAATGCACAAGAAACATAGGTCTCCTCCACAAGTTCACCAATCGGAAAGGGGGCAAAGCAGCTACCGTCAACCTTCAAAGCTACATGAAAGTGTTGAGGATGATGAAGTTATGACGCAAAGATCGTCCGTTGCCATCACGATGCGCGATTTCTTCCCCAAAGACTTCTTCAATCACTTAGTCAAGACTTCTTGTTATAAAGATTGCAAGAAATGCCTCTCTAAGATCGTTTGACAAATTCACACGCTCCTCGTTCGCACGAGCCTAAAAGGCGACAACCAAAGCTCCTTGTCCGCACGAGCATAAAAGGCGACAACAAACGCTCCTGGCCCGCAAGAGCATAAACTGTGTACGGCAAAATCATCACCAAAATCATCATCAAAACCATCACTCATTTGAACTACGTTATGACTTGATCTCTTCTTTGGAAGAGTACGTAGGCAACTTGAAACTTCAAAACTTCAAGTACAGTCACATCAAAATAAATAAATAAATGTTTCATTAAAGAAAGTCAATTTTATTACAAAAGAAAAGAAAAAAAAATACATATGTTACTATATATATATTCTCTATTCAAAAAAAAAAAAAAAAAAAAAAAGGGAATGCATGTATATGTGTTCCCCCAAAATCAAAAAAAAAAAAAAAATTAATAATAATAATAAAAAAAAAAAATAAAAAAAAATTATACATGTTAAAGTGGGTTTGCCTACAAGACCCACGCCAATTCAAAGAAACAGAAGTTGAAGTCCACAAAAGGAGAGACTCCCAAGGAATTTGGTGGGGCGTAAGACTTTGTCACCATGCCAAGTGGATTTTGATTGGTCGTGAGATGGTGATGCGAGAATTACTTGACACTCAAATTAAACCCTCGTTTGACAATTGTAGTAGAATGGATAAGTGAGGGATCGTTCTAGACCGGGGATTAGGAGGGCTTGCTAAAACCTTCTAAATTGACTTAAAAACATAAAAACTAAATTAAAATATTCTTAACAAGACTACTATGACTCAGAATGGCTTTGAAAAACTCAAATTGTCTAAAACAATCAAATTGACTCAAATAGAAGCTAGAACTTGATTTAGACGAATTTGCAATTGTTTATCACTCCAAAAGCTTTAAAGATACACAAATAAAACAAATACGAATGATTAAGACTTTAACAAAATAGGGGGGGGAATTGTGGTTGGACGATATTAAATTAAAAAGACAGAATATAATTGAAG